CCCCCCCCCCCCCTTCGGTTTCTGAAAATATCACATTAATATCCCCCCTCTTAAAATAAGAGTTTGATTAGCTGGTTCATAGTTCTAAACAGTACCAAATGGCATTGTTTTTCCTCCAAAACACCAATTTTTTCGTGAAGGGGCCCCGGACCTCACCCCAAGGGTGACAGCGCAGTCGGTAGCGTGCACGGCTGCTAATTAAAATCCAAAGCTATCACCTACCATGATTTCTCTGTATAAGACCACGTCATACAGTGGCGGGTTTAGGGGGGTGTCAGGGAGTCAAATTCCTTGGTATTTCATGATTAGTTTCGGATAAACTCGCGGGTTGAACTTCCAAGCCGAGTAGGTAGGTTTGTCTTCATATTATATTTCTTTTCTTTTATAAAGACGAGATCCTATTCATGCCGGTGTGGCAGGTATGGAAGTCCGGACTCCCATATGATTAGTACAGGTTAGGGTTAGTTGGAGGTACCCCTTATTGGAGTCAGTATATAGGACGAATGTCACCCTTACAAATTAAAGGGATGCGGACTACGGTTTCTAGCGGACTTCCATTCCTGTTACACGGGCAGTAGACCTATAACGTGATTCGTCTAATGATATTTCTTTACATATGTGTGTGTGTGTGTGTGTGTGTGTGTGCTCGTGCTTAACGAATTTCCCAGAGGGAAACTGTCTTTTTCCCTTGTACCAAAGCTTTCTTTCACTTTTCCCGACACTCTTCACAAATCTGAAACAGTCTGGAAATTTTTAAGAGTCCTTAGCTCACACCAACGATGGTTTTATGAATTCACCCATCCATTCAAGCTCAATGCTAGCGCTGACTTCTGGATTATGTGCGATCAAATTCTGGTAAAACTGATTGTTATTGCGACATTAATTTGTGTTATTTAATTGTGAAATTGAGATTTAAAAAATTTACTTGTCCTCAGATAAGTTAAACAAGAATTGGTTTAGGTACTTATTGTTTGTTTTGAATCCTACGTTTTATTTTTCTATTCTAAAAGGCGATGGCTATTTATATATAAAATTGCACAAAAATTAAGTAGAGAATATTGCTCTAACACTAACGAGGCGACATTTTAGAGTAAAAAACGGGATATTTGCTTGAACTAACCGTATCTCTTCATGTATTTTGTGTTAAATTGTGAAACAATGAGCAAAATAGTAAAACCTCAAGCAAAAATTGAAATGTCATTAATCTGGTAACGCTGTCAAATAACTTCCTGGCCACACCTGGCAAGAAGAACTTACGCCTTTTCTACCGGTGCACAGGGTGACCAGAGAAGGTTCACTGGCTTCACCACATCTACATGTATCATATTGCTGCAGATGAGATTGTCACAATCGACAACCAAGTGTTGAAATGAATATAGCAACTGGATATCATCATATGTTGGAAGGCAAACGCGTACTTACCGAATTTGAAATGTCCCAAAGTATTATTTTGTCCAAATATCTTGCAACGCTAATTATCTAATCCATTTCTGGCAAGACATTTAAAGCTAGATTTTTTTTTGTAGAAACGATAATATATTTCAATTTTAAATTTCAATTATAATGATTTTAATTATAATTTCAATAAATAATATATGTCTAATCAAAGTTCAGGGACGAATCCAACACTGTTTCTTGATTAAGAGAAAATGCTTTTTTCTCAAGGAAA